GCACCCTTCAGTCTGCACAAACAGTTCCTCATGTACTGCCCATGACACATGCACATGGGGAACAATCGGGGCACAGTGCCAGTGCGCCAGAGTTAGTCCCAGGGTGCTTCCCCGGAGAGGCTCCCTGCAGGGAGGAAAGGGGTGCAAGTAGCTCCTTGTCCCAGTCATCTGGGAGCCCCGCACCCCACCCCACAAGCCTGCCCTCCATGGGCTGAACAGGAGCACAGGTCCGTGGCTGCCCTACGGGGGGAGGGGGAGTGAGTTCTGGAACCACAGCAGCAGGTGCTGTCAAGAGCCTGGCCTATCCCACTGTGAGAATGCGGTGGGGGAGGCAGGCTGCCCGAGGCCAACACCCAGAAGCCCAACAGCCCCTGGGGAGCACACGGGGATAGGGGGCTCAGCCAGCAGCTGCCTGGGCCCGGGCTTGCCCAGCCGATTTACCATGGTCCCTAGGGACCCATGCATGCCTGATCTGGGGCCAGGCGCCACATGGCCCCTGGTACAGAGCCTCTTATCTGAGAAATATTGCAAACTCCCACAAACAGCTTCTGTCTCATGGTTCTGTAGGTCCTGTAGCTGCACGCAGGGAAGAGGCCGCCCTTGGCAACTGGAATGCAGCCGCAGGGTTGCCACCACGCACAGCTGGGTCCCTGCTGATCTGCCAGCTCCACCAGAGGTGGACATAGGACTGCTCCGTCCTACACCTGGCGGCTGCTTTGGAGGACTGGCTGAGAACACACAGGTCTGGTGGGAGGAGGATGCCGCCCACAAGGATGTGCAGGACTGGGCAGACTGAGAAGTTCTGGGCACAGCTACTGGCCCTGGAGTCACCTTGCTGCAGGAGCAGAACACAATCCTGGCTGAGGCAGTCCAGGCCACAGACAATGACTGCTGGGTGCTGGACACTGTTCTGGCCCTGGCAGTTGCCTTCATGCTGCCCCCTGCTGGGCCTGGGAGGAGGTCTTGCACCACCTCCAGCAGCCAGGAGCCCCTGTCCTGGACCCCACCCTGAATCCGGCGCCACCCAGGCCCCTCACCTGGGCCCAGTGCCGCTGCTCACTCCAGCACCATGCAGCAAGGCCAGAACCACACACCAGACCTTTTAGCCCTGGACACAGGCTGCACAGCCCACATGGGCGAGCCCCCTACGTGCTGCCCTCACTGTGGTGTGTGCACCCACAAGGGACTAGCCAGTGGCCAGGATGTTGGGCACCAGTCCCCAGGCTCTACCCTCTAAGTGCCCCATCCCACAGCCCCCCACCCTGGGACACCATACAAAGGACAGCTCTGGCAACTGTACAAAGGCAAACTTGGGAAAACTGCACAAAGGCAGCCTCAGGGAAAACTACAAAGTTTTCAGAGGGAAGAGGGTGTTTTATTGATGGTGGGTGGGATGGGTGATGGAGGGGCTCTGTTTGTCGGGGAGGGAGGAGGAAAGGGGGCTCTGTGTGATGTGAGGGGAATTTGTTCTTCTGCGATGTGTTTGCAGTGAGCGTGGTGCTTGGGGGAGATCCAGGGCTCCTTAGGCAGTGGTCCAGGTGGGCTACAGTGAGGCGTGCAGAAAGAGGTGGTCGGCCAGGGCCTCCCACACCTGCTGCCCTGTCCCCTGCTGGTGGGTGTGTGGCTCACCTTAGGCCTCAGTGGGGGGACCCACTGCTGTTGCTGCTGCCACAGGTGGTGCTCCGACTTCCAGGCGTCCTCTGCCCACCTGACCTCCTCCACCCAAGTCTCATGACTGATCTCCCCCTGAGCCTCACAGATGTTATGCAGCACATAGGCTGCAACAATGACCTGGGGGAGGCTGTCCTTTGGAAACTCGAGGTGGGCAGTTGGAGCACCAGTGCCCCTTGAGATGGCCCAAGTTGCACTCCACCAGGATGCAGGTCCAGCCCAGGCAGTGGTTAAAGTGGGCCTGGTGGGGTTCCAGCTGGCCAGTGTAGGGCTGCATGAGCCAAGGCAGGAGGAGGTAGGCAGGGTCCCTGGTGAGGAGGGGTGAGACGGTCATGGCACCCAGCTGCAAATCCAGCACCCCAGCATGAAGCACCCACTTTCCACCAGGCCCAGCAGGCCAGAGCTCCTGAAGACGCAGGCATCATGGGCACTGCCCTCCCAGCCATCACTCATGTGCATGAAGGCCCCACAGTGAGTAGGTGATAGGTATGTGGGTTCCGCCCAGGGCCCCAGTGCACTGGGTGAATCCCAGGGCACAGAGCCCCGCTATCACTGCCAGGGGTTGTGCACGTGGAGCACCATGTGCCCCAGCATGTCCTGGAGGGCCCTGAACACCTCCAGTATGGTCTCCCCTGATGGTGGGGTCTTGCCCACCCCAAAGAGATGGCCCACATAGCAGAGGCTTGCAGGTGTTGACACCTTGAGCAGGGTGAGAGCTAGCTGGGTGTCCACAGGGAAGAGTGGCTATATGGCAGTGTCCTGCTGCTCGGGGTGGGGCCAGAGCTGCTCGAGAAGCTCCTGGAATGTGGAACGGGTCCTGCGGAACATCTTCAGCCATGGCTTGTCATAACAGGTGTGCTGGATAATGTGCAGCCACCACTCCTGGAGGCCCTGGAACATGATGGCAGCCCTGGTGGTGGTGTCCCTAGCCTACTGTCAGTGTGTCTGCTGGTGGCAGCTTCACAGAGGTGGTGGTGGCCCTTGGAGCTCCCCCCCATGACAACAGGGGCCCATTGCAGGGCTGCAGGAATTTCAGTGGTAAGAACAGCAATTTTTCTGCCTAGTCCCTGCATGTATAGATGCCTGCACAAGAGAGTTTATTCTAGAGTAAACTGATCCCAGATCAAATGCATGTGTAGATGCACTCACTGTTACTCAGATTACAGGTAATCATGTGAGTTAGCTTTGATAAAAGAGGCAGAAACAGGTCTACAGGCCAACCTGTTATTTGCTTGTACTTCAAAATACAAAAATCCCAAAGTCTATCTAGCTACCATGCAAACACAACACAGATATTTACCTATTGGCTAGGAAGACTTATTGGCTTGAGAAACAGGAGGAGGGTGGCATGCAGATTTGATGTTGACTTTTCTGAGTTCTCTAAATGTCACTCCATCCTATACCCTATATTTATAGAAGCCTGGTTCTAATTTTCTAATAAGTGATCTTTACTGGTTTTATTTAAATTTCTTTGTTTCACTGAAACATTTAGAACTGGACTGAACCAGGTTTTGTGGACTTGGAAGGGATCTATTTAGTTTGGAGTTATTTCCTTGGGAAAGAATAAGGGAGAATTTATCATCTCCTTTCCTTCCCCATTGTGGAATGCTGCTTAACATTGTCCTGTTTCTTCTTTACTTTAGCTAATGGTCTTCTCTCACAAGGCTGTAGATTATAAATTAGCTAAGCATTTTTTAAAAAAATATATGTATTATAGCAAAATAACATCATGCATTTAGTTACACCAATCACTACTAATAATATTTTAAGATAAAGTTATAATATACTATATTTGTATTCATTAATGTATGGTCTTACCTTATAATGTCTACTTTCAGGCCATGTGCTTTACTGAATTGCACCTCATTACTGGGTTAAATTAGACATGTTGATAGGTTCCTTTATTTTGATGACCAAGCTAGGTGTTACATTTGCAAAGGTTCATACTATGGTCACTCAGAAACAGGCTTTGGGGCCTTCTGCTTAGTCATACTTCTGCAGCTTGGCCCAGATCCCTTGAAAATGGCCATGGCTGGCAACAATATCTCCCGTGTCTTTGTTATAAAATGAAACTTGCCCAAAATGGATGCCAATTTGAGAGCAGCTGTGAAAGAGTTAACAGTGGGCTGTGCCCCTCCTGCTTCCTAGAAGGGACAGAGAAGCTGGCAGCCACCTTGTCACAGCATCTTTATCCTTCTATGCCTCAATGCAGTGAAATTCGGGCAAAGAAAATCCCCACTTAAGACACACACCCCAGCATTGGCTAGCTGTTTTTTTGGGAAAAGGCAAGCGTGATATTCCTAGAATCACAGAATCAATGAGTCGGAAGGGACTTAGACAGACCATCTAGTCTGACCCCCCGCCACGGGAAGGAAGGAGCACTGGGGGTGGCAGGGGTCATAAGACCCCAGCCAGGTGCCTATCCAGTCTCCTCTTGAAGATTTCCAGGGAAGGTGAGAGCGCCACCTCTCTGGGAAGACTATTCCAGACTCTGGCCACCCTTACAGTGAAGTAGTTCTTCCTAATATCTAACCTAAACCTATCCTCCCTCAGCTTATGGCCATTGTTCCTGGTGACTCCAAGGGGGGCCCTGGTGAACAGACTTTCCCCGAGTCCCTGCTGGTGGCCCCTGATAAGGTTGTAGGCAGCCACAAGATCCCTCCTCAGTCTCCTCTTGCGGAGACTGAAGAGATTCAGGTCCCTCAGCCTCTCCTCATAGGGCTGGCCACGGAGGCCCTCAACCATACGAGTGGCCTCCTCTGGACCCTCTCCAGGTTCTCCATGTCCTTCTTGAAGTGCGGTGCCCAGAACTGGACACAGTACTCCAGTTGTGGCCTGACCAGCACCGCATAGAGGGGGAGCAAGACCTCTCTGGACCTGTTAGCGATGCCCCTGTTGATGTATGACAGGGTGCGGTTGGCTCTGCCTATTTGAGTAAATACAGTACATATTACTGGCCCTAAGGATAGCATCGTTCTGGACAATGCACTTTCTGAGGACCCTTCTCCCCATCATATTTCTGCACACGAAACAGGAAACAACGTCCCTCTCCCACAGACATTGTTATAAGTTTTGCCACTGGCTTTAGTGGGGCCAGGATTTCATCTTGTATTCTCACAGTCAACATCTGTAACCTCTACAATTTGCTTTGCCTGGATGAGTGGCCTGTAGAAAGTAAAGAAATGCTGCACTTCCTAGTCAAATCAACATAGATGACATCCATTTTTGTTAAATCTTGCTAACATAACACAAGGTTTGTTGGTAGAATTCCGTATTGTAACAGAAAAGACTTAGCAAACAGTTATGATGAGAAATAATAGCAAACGTACCTCAGGTTCCCTTTGGAATATAACTACCCGACCTCCCTTGTCCCCAGTAGCCAGCAGTTCTCCAGTATGGTTGAACTCAACTGTAGAAATAATATCAGCTGGAGAGAAAAAGTGAGAAAAGACAGACATTAAGCTAATGCTGTAGAGCAAAAACCATTAGAACCAGCAAGAGGTCCATAAAAATACCACAAATTATGGATTCACAAGATACACAGAAGAATGCAGTGATAAGGCATTAATTTAAAGGTCTGCCTGCCAGTAAAATAGGACATAATAGGTACATATATGTATAATAGGCAGTTTTGTGATTTCAGCCACTGCCTGAAATTTGGGAGAATGGTTATGCTTCAAGAAGTGATCTCAGACTGGTACAATGTTTCTAGCAGTGGGCAAATACCAAAGTGCTTCGCTTCATCTTCTGGTAAGATGCAAGGCTCAGTATAAAGGCCCAGTTCTAAGGAACTGTATGCTCCCTGCCCTCATTGAGGTTTCAAGCACTTTTGTATACACATCACTGCCTCAAAGCTTGTGCATCATGAATGCAAGAAAAATGTGCATATGGCTAGGCCCTGCACAGGAGCATGAAGGCAGAAGTGCCTCCTTGTGCACTTTGCCCTCCTTCCATGTCACAGAACAGTGCCATACCAGAGTTGCTTAGTACGTCATTTCAGGACTACAAAAACATATAGTGAGATGTTTTAAAGAGACAAATCCCTCAAGAACAATGTTGTGAGGTTAGACCAAAATCACAAACCCACAAGACAGTCAAGAGTACCAAACAGTGCACAACACAGCGAAAAAAGAGAAAAAAAACAAGCAAAAAGGAAGAACCAACCCATTTATGAAAATAAATGCTGGAATCATAATCCACAGTTAATCCTCCATTATTAGCATAATTTAAATTACAATGCCTAGTGTGATGGCAAATTAGGAAGACATCTTACATGCAGAGTCACAGACAAATATAGTGTATTGCTAACATATTGCCCATGTCGGTTTACTATAATTATCAACATTTGGTGAAGTATGGGCCAGATTTTAAGACAAGTTCTATACTCAGCTGCTCCCAGTTAGGAGCCTAAAGAAGCAGCCAGATTTTTAAACCTGCTCAGTATCCATCAGTTCACATAGAGAACAACAGGAGCCACAGCTGTTCCTGTTTAATAAACCAGATATGAATTTTAGAAGCCTTCTACCACCTGTGGGATTCACTATAGGAACTGTCATCCAAAAGGCAGATACTGGACATGGAAGGTATGCATTTCAGACTACAGAGAGATGGCTTTTCCTACCATTTCTCCACCATGTCTAAAAAGAAATTCAAGAATACAGACATCGTTAAAATCAGGATGTGCGATTGTTTCTACTTAGAGTTTTTGGCTGGAGGAGACATCTTTTCACATTATAGGTCAGAAAGGCTGTGATTTTTCTTTACAGTTATATAAAATGTGGCTCCATACAAGTCCTAGGAGAAGTCTAAAGAAAAATGGACTCATCACATTTCTTTAATAATATATGCAAAAAATGTATTTTTACTCCAACACTAATCTTCACAAATGCACACACAACTGCAAGGGAATCTAATACACTCTCTACCACAAGTGGCAGTTCTTGCCACTTCAAGAACACTTTTAGTATAGCATGCTGCCTGGGAAACAACATTTTGCATCAGGAACCACTGTTTCTCTTGAATGCTTTTTTGTATCTTCTGAAATGAGTATGGCGCCATGCCTCAGTATCTACTGATACTCAAAGCACTTCCTCTTTATCCAAGACGGAAAACTCGAGATTTGTTCCCTAGAAATGAGGGTGCCAATTCAAAACACTCACGTGGTTATTTAATGTGTTGTGTTCACCTGGTGCTTTATTTTTTATGATAATCTACACATTAAGACCAACGGTATTTGGTTGCAACCCAAAGCCTATCCAACATCATGTGGTTATACTGGATTTTAAATCAAGCTCTTTGTCAGTAACGGTCGGGACCTCCATGGAGAACAGGGAGAGAGACCCTGCCCAAGAAGTGAGGGTTAAAAGGTACTAAGCAAATTTATTTCTGGTGGAAAATGTTCTTTTAACTTTCTTGTCTAAAATTCATTCTTTGACATGACATTTTCTGACCAGATATTTAGACATTTCATGCTTTTTCTAAAGGAGGAAATACCTAAGAACTCTTTGCCCTGACCCTGCAAAATTCTTATTGCTATTAATAGCAAGCAAACAGCAACCTGTTTATTTAGAAGATGATATATGAACGTTTTTATCCACTTGGGGCCTTTTCCAATCCTCCAAGCCTCTCAAACAGAATGCCTCTTGATTTGAACTGGAAGTGAGATGCATTGAGTGGTCATAGGGTTGTGGGGTTTGGCTTTTATGTACTGAATAAAACATGGGAAACATATGCATGGAGGGAAGACAAAGGAGTTAAATATAAGTGTGTGCGTGTGTTTTTTTATAAGAGCCAAATACTGATGCCCTATATTAATAAATGCACTTGTTCCTGGATCACTCACAATGTGTTTTCTTATTTTGTTCCTTTGACACTAAGATCCTCAAGCACTAGCTTACACATTAACGCACTGTACAATACACAGGACCCGAGCCAATGCCTACTGAAGTCAACACGAGTGTTTTCATTGAATTCAACTAAAAGTTAGATCAGGAAGGAAACAATACCACATACTGTTGCTACAGTACTGTAGGTAAATTACATATCCATTGCCTTAAAGCTTTGAAAAGGTAGCAGCTAAAAAGAGTTATTACCAACAAATAAATATTTAGTCCTCTCTGACTATAGCATTCTCAGGTAAAAACCATTCTCTCTCAGGTGGTCTAGGTGAAACTTCTCTTACTTGCAGCACTAATCATGAATTAGATTTTAAAAATTAAGTTGTTCTGGAAAAGAGCAGAGCAAATTCTCCATCATCTTATTTTATGAAGCATGTTGGTAAAAAACAAAACAAAAACACCCCCCCATCACCTTGAATTGGAAAATCGCTTTTATTGATCCAATGAATAAAGAACTGAAGATAGTCACCAAAAAAAATCGTATACAACATATCTGGCCAGCAGGCAAGCATTAGTCATGCTGCTTTAATAAAGATTAGCCAGCTTGGCTCTTTCTAAAGGGGGAATAGGATTGATCAGAAGAGCCTTTCATGCACTTCCAAATAATTCTTTCTGGAACATTCCCATTCATCAGTGCTTTGGAAACACCACCCACTGTAGTAATGTCTTGTACGAACTCTTACTCTGGAAGACTCTTACTGCCATGTACAGTGTGGCTAAGTGCCAGGTTCCCGTTTCAGAATATGTAAATGCTCCATGCTGGAAGAGAGTTGATTTGCTCATGTACAGTAAGCTGTGTACAAGGGACGGCTGAGATAAAAGCCCTCCCCTGCCTCCCTGTTCAAAAGCATGCCTTTCACATCTCTCCCGGCAGTGCCACGCTTCCCACTAACACAATCAGGATTATCAGAGACAGGGAGAATTTGCTAGGCAATGAATACTGACGACGGCTTCAATAGCCACTGGGCAGATTGTAAATCCCAGCTTTCATTTAAATATAAAGCTGCCCATTGCATCTATAAATTCATTCATTTAATGTTGCTCTTTTGCTTGTAAAAAAATGAACTGGCCTACAAAGCAGCATTTTAAAACTGAAGAGCTGATTGTGTTTAATCAAGGAAAAATAGCTATAAATTGGATGCTCCAGATACTCATGTTTCTAATTAAGTCTTCATAGGGCATCATTAACTAAAGATAGAAAAGGTCTACCTGGTCATCTACTCTCCAGCCAGCCAAAGCAGGATTGTTTCAACTAGTCCTGGGCAGCTAGTGCTTTCAGCAGCCTAATATAAAAGTTTTTCCAAGGCAGTGAAATTCTTTCTCCAGCCTAAGCCCTCCATCAGGGAGTTCTCTTGATTCAACCAAAAACATTCCTTTCAACCCATTACTCCTACTTACACGTGCCATTTTGGGAACAGAGAACTGGAAGGGGCCCCAGGCCATTGAGCCCAGTCCCCTTTATTTATGGGTAACTGTCTATCCAGAATTCTAAAAATTATCCACTCCAAACCCTCGCGTATACCACAGCAACATAAACACAAAAACAGCCCCCTAAGGCATACTACAGATCAAGGGTCACTGTCTATGTCCTGCCACTGCAGTGGCAAAGAAGTATTTTGGTTAGTGTCTGATCAGAGACTCCTAGGAAGAGAACCATGCCTCATGCTACAGAAGAAGACAAGCTGAATTGGGAGAAAAAAAATCCTTCCTTACTCCAGATCTGGTAACTGGTTTAAATCGTGATTGCTTTTGCATCTCCTGAACCAATTCCTCTGCAGATCACCACTGAAGCTTTTTAATGTTTTATTCAGTTAAATTGTTCCTTCATAGCTAGTGCTTAGTTACCTTATGCATGTTCAGCACTTTTAGGGCAGTAAAATGCTTTTACCTGTATGAGTGATTGGAAATCGGTCTATACCTGCAACTGTACAGAAGTTTGGCACACGGGGCGCCTACACACAAGCACAGAGGCGGCTTCGATGCACTGGAATTCCAGCACGTTAGAGCAGACGTGATCAATCAAGTCTGCTGGAGCATGACAACTGTTGCGTTCCAGCGGCCTCCTGCATCTCATGTATCAGCATCCCTGTGCTTAAAAATGATGGTGGTGGCACTTGAATGAACTTTAGTTCAAGTGCCCCCACCGCCATTTTTAAGCATGGGGATGGTGATACACGAGACACAGCAGAGCTTTAATTAGAGTGGCTCTCTCCCCAAAAGCACCCCAAACTTAATCTCCCTTGCTAAAAGCCTGCCTAAATAAAAAAAGGTCTTGCAGCACTCCTGAAGGTGCCCAGATGGGCTCTGAAGGGCCTCAAGTGGGAGTGAGTTCCAACTCTGAGGAGCAGCTATTGAGAACACGTGTTTTCCCTGAACCGATATGGCGCACAGATAGACTTGGAGGAAGTTGCTCTCATCTGATGTTAGGGATCATAACGGAACACAAAAGAGGAGCAGTCCCTTAGGTATGCAGGGCCTGGGCCATTTAAGGATTTACAGATCAAAACCAGCACTTTGATTATATTGACTT